ACTCATAAGTCACTTACTCTCAGCAGCTAGAAATATCATAAGTAGACACTGGAAGCACCTATCAGGAGTGAACATAGACCACAGGTACCTACTAGAAAAGTTAACCAACAAATTCAAACTAGCACAGGGACAAGCTACAGAGGATGCCTTCACCCCAGAGTGGTTCCCCTTTATTACATATGCAGTATAACAGGACAATGACCTATCCCCTCCAACAGCATACAAATCAATATGGCTAACCTGACCCAACAACCTAGCCCACCTCCCTCACACAAATAAGCCACATCGCAATCAGCTAAACACCCCCAACCAAGCTCAGGAACCCTTAACCTCTTGCAAAATCAATAAAAATAAATAAATACAGAAACAAAGCATCTACTCATGTGATACTGACACAACCCCCCCACACACACACACACTAAGAAGAGGCAGTAGAATAAAAAAACAATATCCCCATCTCTCTCCCCCTCTCCTTTCCCCCAACTGTAAGATGTCTCTCACCAAATGTAAATGAACCATGAAAAAGACTATGAATTGCAAGTGGAGACAAGAGATGGGCTGTTCCCTGTTTATCTGTTTGCTTTGTAATACAAAAAAACCCCAATAAAAACTAATTAAAACAAAGAACAATGTGCGCTGAGACTTGGGAATGAGAAGGCAAGACAACATAATTTGGTTTGAATATTGCTGCAAGTTGATTTAACTGCGTTAAAATATTTGCAGTGGAAAGTATATTAACTACTAATCCCTAGTCTTTGGCTGCAGGTACTATTTCTCCACTCACACTCTCATCTGGGAAGCTCCAACATGGCTGTGAGTTCAGGAACAGTTGTCTTCTGCTGATGTTTATTCTAGAATGGAGCTTAGTATAGAGATACTCCAGCATGAACTGGAGCAGAGAAACCACTCTCCTGAACCTTGTGACCAGCTCACATGGCCAATAGGCATCATGTAGGGAAACCATCTAAGTATGGACCACACAATTCATCATACACTACAGATCTGTAAAGCAGGAGGTATTATTTTATCCCCAATATGAAAATTGGTTAGACTGCTAGGCATAATTACTTACATAGGGTGATATCCAGCTAAGACATATTCAGAGCAGACTCATTGAAATAAATGAAGTTGTTACTTAAGTCCATTGGCTGTCCTCTGGGTATAACTAACACTAGATATCACCCACACAGTTTTGCTACGGGTATCTCCTGGCATGCTGTTACTCTACCAGAACGGCGTCTCCATTTGAGAATCTTAGAAAGCCTACAAACATGTATATTATACACAGATATAACTTACAGTTCATATAACATTGTTTATTAGGAATTCAACCCTTCAATTTTTCCTGCCTTAATTCAGGGTGGATGTGTGGGCGTGACAGCACCAGTGCCGCACACGGAAACGCCGTTTACCTTCCCGCTATAAAGCGGTACCTATTTATCTACTTGCACTTAGGGGTGCTTTCGAACTGCTAGGTGGGCAGGAGCTGGGACCGAACGACGGGAGCTCACCCCGCCGTGGGGATTCGAACCGCCGACCTTACGATCAGCAAGTCCTAGGCACTGAAGTTTTACCCACAGTGCCACCCGCGTCCCTTAATAGAAAGTACACACACACACAAATGCTATTAATGAAATTAATGTATTAAGAAAACAGCTTGCAAAAATGTGTATATTAGGTAAAACACCCATAAAAATGCATTTGAATTTTCACGCATTTTTTTTAACACTGCAAACTGATGTGGAAATCGGGTGAACTAAACTAGAAATGAGAAACTGAGAGGAGCAAAAATGATAGATTCGTTCATTCATTCCTAGCAACTACAGACCATCTATTAATACATTATTTAATAGCCATGTTCCTGTTAGAGCCCATAACCCTCTTGGTGATCTGTCAGTTTAGTAAGTTTTCCTGTTCTGTGGAGCTCCAGTTCTTCCAACATAAATTAATGCCTACAGGTATGTCATGGGTGTTCTAATATGCATTGTTATTTAGCTGATAAGGCTTCATGCTATTTCCATTCAAACATCTTCTCCAATGGTCTTATGAAAATTTATGCTTGTGATAAATGTGTCCTCAGTGACAGGCTGGGTAGGTATCCAACATAAGATTCCTCCTACCCAGACTTGAAGACCCAGTGCTCTCCAGCAAACAAATACTTAGATAAATCATGGTGTTCTTTAAAGCTGAAATACTTTGTAGCACTGCTGAGCAATTATTACATTCCAGGATAGCGGAAAGGGAAGGGGCTTGATAAGACATAAGATCAAAGGTTGACAATCTAATTGGGGGGGGAAATAGAAACACTTGTCCTGAAACACAAACTACAGAGCTGCTCTCCTCTGTTGCAAAATGGAATCTTAAAAGAAAATTAAGCAGAAAGAGATCAACCCATTATGGTGACAGTTATCGCCCTATTTTCACCCTATTACAAAACTTGTTCCACATTCTAAAGCTACTCCATAATGTTATATATTAAAATGAATAATATATACGCTCTTTGCCTACTTTCATTTGCCTATTATGAAGACAGTGTATGAGGCATCATCACACATGTTTATGGATTGCCTTTTTCGTTTCATGGGGGGGGAGCTAGGGCAATTGGTTTGTATTTGCCTTCCCCCATTGTAGATGACGTACCCATCAGAAACTGTCCTCTATAGACTCCATAGTTGCAATATGCTGTTGGTGAAAGAAAAAAATGTAATCTTGGAGGAAGGAGCTAAAAGTATGGCCTTGCTTCTCATTCTAAATTCTGTACTTATGCCCTGCATTAAGATATGTGCACACATTACATTCAACAAGTGTGCAACCTGTGTACATTTGTAACAAATTGTTGAGCTGTGCACTTGCATAACTATTCACATGCAACATTCAACAAGGGTACATTTCTCCTCCTATACATTTCTGCCTGCTGACACAGTCTTTCTAATTCTCCCTTCCTCACAATAATCTTCACTTCTCTCAGAACAACCACATTGTTACCTGAAATTATGTCACTGAAATTCATTCTAGGGATTTGGTACATGCTATAACTTTAAAGCAAATTCAAAACACATCCTCTCCTCCTGCTCAAATAATTCTGTAGTTTGTTAAAGGTTGCTAGGAATCATAGGAGCCAACACCTAGGGGCTGAGGTCTCTTAACCCCCCCCCAATGAAATATTTGAGGGCACTGCCCCATTGAAGTTGATGGGTATTGCCATTCAAATGGGGGGGTGCCATGTCGTGTGACTGATTGTGCAGGGCAGGGCTTACCTGCCTCCCCCCATATTTCATTCAAGTTGGCACACCTGCTAGGAATTGTACCTCTGTGATGGGCAAATTACAATGCCCATAATTCTTTGCGTCAAATGTGCTTTAATTAAAGGTATCATATGTATGCAGTCTTAGAATGACATCATAGCAATTCAGTCAATCACTAGAGCAGATCACAACTGATATGCAACAAGTTATTGGGCTGTTTTGAACTGTTGATCATAATTATTTTGTCTGAATAAATCATATCTCTAGGGGATGACCTATATCATTATTTTGCTGTTGTCTAGGTTTACAATAAACGGCATTTCCGTGCGCTGCTCTGGTTCACCAGAAGCAGCTTAGTCATGCTGGCCACATGACCCAGAAGCTGTACACCAGCTCCCTCGGCCAATAAAGCGAGATGAGTGACGCAACCCCAGAGTTGTCCGCGACTGGACCTAATGGTCCAGGATACCTTTACCTTTAGGTTTACAATATGCTTTGTCAAACATGGCAGACCTGCATAACTAAGCATCAAGCCTGAAGAGGCCCATATTAAAGCTATACTAAAGCCATAAATAATAAAGTATTACTCTTTAAAAGGTTATACCATTAATAAATATTGAAAAAGAGTTTCCCAGCTGCCAAACTGTTCCACCTTAGATATTTCTGCATGGTAAGTGAGGTAATCAACACATGGGTTTCAGGGATCATCACACAAACCAAAAGTCTTCCCTGAAGTTACTATCATGTTTATAGTTCCTTATGGTTTACACATGGAAACACATGTATAGTATTGGCTTCAAATATCCAAAAAGTGACCATCCGAACCATTCTGATAGACAAAGATGCAAGTGAATGGGAGTGTTATTAAGATAAAAGTTTTATACAGATAGGGGAGGGTGGTTAACACAGAATGGTCCTAGATCATAGGGCAACATGCAATCCGTTATACACAAAACTGCGGAATAATGCACAAGGGGAGTTTTGACTATTTAGTTTTAATCAGGTTTCCTAAAATGAAGCCTTGCCAATAGGAAATGAAAGGATCTTAAATGAGATGCAGCAATAAATTCAGATAGCAATGTTTCCTGCTTTGCATTCCAAAACATCTCTGTTCTCATTAGAAGTACTAAAAGGCTACCCACACAAGGATTGTGGGAGGCTATTCTGATATCTGTATTACCTTCTTTCATGTTTTTCCATATTATCTCAATGTTCTTCTCAATGCTACCAAGGAGGTACAGTATTTATTTATTTTTTGCATCTGCTTATCTGTGGGTTGTTCTTCAAATCACTTCCTTCTCTTTACACTTTCGAGCAGCTGGGTTTATCCATCACAAAGTTCTGATTTTGCTTATTGAAGCCGGTGGAGAAAAGCAACATTTAAAGTGTATTTCTGTTCAAAGAAATCTACTTTTAATACTGCAGCTGCCTAAATTCATTTGAGATGCCTTCCCAGCCGTACAATCACCACCACAAACAAGGTCATGAAGAAAATGCAGGCATTTGGGAGACAAAATCATCTAACCCTCCACCTCCATTGTGAAACCAAAAATTATACAAGTTAATATGCAAGTCTCTTATGGAAATGATGCAATAATCATGTGTCTCTACATTCATTATGAGATAATTAGTTTTAATTGCATATTAAATTCTGATTGAATTAAAAGAGTTCAGGAGTTTGGAATTTTATTTTATTTTATTTTATTTTTTAGCCTTCGCTTGCAATACTTCTGCTGTCCATGCTGTTTTGTAATGCAAATGAGCAACTCTTCTTAAGCAATTACAATGACTTTCAGGTGCCTCTTCATAAACTCTGCTCTTCTGTACAAATGTCACAATGACCTGCTTGACACAATTCTCTTAAATAGAACATTTCTAACCCATCAAATCTATCTACAGTGTCCATGGCTATTGTACCCAGGTAAGTGTTTATAAGGAAGGTTTCACCAGTGTGATGCTCTCCAGATGTTGCTGGACTTTTGTTGGCATCCATCTGTCTCGAGAAACAATGAAAGTGTGCGCTATCAGGAGCAGAGTCAAATCGTTGGAGAGTTACAGTGCCTTCTATGGGCATACAGAGCGATATGGAAGAGACATGTTTTATTGCAGGCATAGGCAAACTTGGCCCTCCAGATGTTTTGGGACTACAACTCCCATCATCCCTGACCACTGGTCCTGTTAGCTAGGGAGGATGGGAGTTTAGTCCCAAAACATCAGGAGAGCTGAGTTTGCCTATGCCTGATTCATTGCAACTGGGGCAGATGAAGACATCTGGTTTTGCTGATACAGTTGCCCCATGGGGTTCCTTCCACAACTGCAATATGCTTGATATTTGGTCATGCTGGCCAGGTTTGAAGGGAGCTGGGAGTTCAACAATATCTGGAGGGTACCACATTGGCTACCCCCAGTATAAGATTATTTCTGGAATACCTTTCCTACAGAAAGCCATCTGACATTCATACTTTATATTACATTAGCTTCACTGAACCATTACCCTACATGTTTCTGACTACATTCCTCTAATCCATATAGATTAATATTTTTGTAGGCTGTTGGGGGAAATTACTCTTTTTTCAACTGTTGGTTTTGGTTATGAGATATGTAGTACTACTACAAAAGGTGCTATGGGAACAATCATTATCAGTATAATATTTCTGGACATCCACAGCTACATTGTCATACCTTTCCAGCTCTCATTGTTTACCATGGACTGTGTTTAGTGCATATGTGGGCAATCCAGGGGTGAAATAGGGTAGGGGGCTAAGTGGACTCAGCCTACCTAATTCTTGTTGTCTTGTTGTCTTTGAGTCTCTCTCGCTCTCTGAGGATCAGGTGGCAGTTTCCAAGTCATTTGGCAAGTAACAGGAGTTGCTGGTTCTGGGAACAAGAAAGGAGAACAAAGGCCAGAAGCACTTTGGCAACTTGTGTCAGGTTAACAGAAAATAAATATACAGGAAATGTTGTGCACGCGCAACAGCTGTCTCAAATGTACACACCTCAGCTCAACTGTGAAGTTAATGTACCTTACATTTTCAGTTCAGATGGAAACTGTTTTGAGGGGAAACACATCTAACAGTAGTGTTTTTTAAGAAGCTACAGGATTGGATTGTGGCTATTGTTGTGTGTGCATGGCTTCAGAAGCAGTGGCAGTGATGCACTGGATACAGAGTAAATGATAATATTTACACAGCCAAAGGGACATACAAAGACATTGAAACCCACTCTTAGTCACATTAACCTATGGGCAGGGCCCATGTCTTGCTTCAGTTTGCTCACCTCTGTACTTCTGAAGCAGAATATCACAGCAACTGTACCACATTCCAGGTTGGATGTAATGTTAAACCATAGTTTTGTATAAGAACAAGTCGAGTCACCCCACAAGCTTGTATAGTTCATCCTAAACCTGGTCTGCCCTTAAGGAGGAGTTTGAAAGCTTTCACTTCCATCTTAGATTAATCACTGCTTGCAGTGTTATCCAAACTTGCACAATAAGTGATTAATATTCCTCTCCCCCCCACACACACACACCTCTCTCTCCCTCCCCCTGGAGGTCTCAGGGCAGTTCACAGAATAAATTCAAAATATAAAACTACAAAATAAAAATAAAAACAACAACCCAATAACCACCACCCCGCAAAAAAACCCCACATTTTAAAAGGGCATAGGATGTCAATCAAATCAACCAAAGGCCTGGTTAAAAAGAAACGTTTTTGCTTGGTGCCATGGTTGGTGGAAACAAGCCAACTTCAAACCATAGGTTATGAAGCTGGCTTCTATTGACTAAGCAGAGTTCAGATTAACCACAGTTTAGGATTCAGGTGACACACTAAACCACAGTTAGTCAAATACAAGTATGAACTTCCTATCTTTTCACAGGTGTGCAGGAGAAAGGAGAGGGTGTGAGTTTTGGAGGACATATAAACTATCAATTAGTGTTGCATGTAAATGCAGCCATTAAGACAAAACTAGTAGGAGTAGGAGTAGGTGTATTTTAAAATATTACCTGCCCTTCATCCTAAGGTCTCAGGAAGGGTTACAACAATTCAAAATACAATTTTAAAAAGTAGAATCATAGAATCATAGAGTTGGAAGAGACCACAAGGGCCATCGAGTCCAACCCCCTGCCAAGCAGGAAACACCATCAGAGCACTCCTGACATATGGTTGTCAAGCCTCTGCTTAAAGACCTCCAAAGAAGGAGACTCCACCACACTCCTTGGCAGCAAATTCCACTGTCGAACAGCTCTTACTGTCAGGAAGTTCTTCCTAATGTTTAGGTGGAATCAAAATACAATACAAAAGTACAATCAAAATACAAAAGTACAATCAAAGTACAATACAAAAGTACAATCAAAATACAATACAACATAAGTAGAATAAGTGATATGCTCCATGCCTTCCCTCATTGATGTTTGCAGACTTCTCTGTTGGTTTGTTTTTTGGTTTGAGGCTTTTTTTGTTTTGGTTTTTTCACTGAGATTTCAAGACAATGGGTATCATTAAGATATTGATTACCTATCTTTGATATGCCGACAATATGCCAGCTATTGCATGCCCTTCATGCTAGGTTAACTGGCTAACATGTCAGTTAATACACCACCTCTGCAATACGTAGAAACATGCAGTGTATGGTAGGTAAAATAAATTTATTCTATATATTGAGCCCCTCCCTCAGCCTGGCACAACTCCAATTACACTTTCGCATTCTGATTTTGATACTTCTAACAGCCCTTGCTAGAGGTGATTTGTTGTTACCGGGTGTGCTATGTTTTAAAAGTTAACAAGCATCTGTTCTTAGATGAATGGTTTCAACAAGATAGGCATTGAACTATTACATTCTGCAATGCACCTTGCAAATAGGGTGAATGATCATTTATTGCTTAGTTTTATCTGGCGATCGGTATCTCATAGCCTTACTCTGTTCAATAAAGTGTGGAACAAAAGGGTATTCTGGCATGAAAACTGTTTATGTTTCATGGTGGATTATAGATCAATTTCAGCTGAAGGTCCTTGGAGCTGTGATTGTCCCCTCTCACTGACAGTATACAGTCTTGAAGCAGAGTCCTCAGACCTCCAGCTAAGTGCATCAGACTGTCATCTGTCTGTACAAGCTGGTGAAGAACAAGGTGCCTAGACAATGGCAAGGGGCTTTTGATGCCATACACAAAAAAATATTAAAATACATAATATAACTTGTCTTAATATACTTTTCTGAGTCTAAAAATATGCCAGACCAAAAGAAACATATTTACATAAAAAGCAGACAAGGTCAAATAACAAAGAAAGCCCTTAATTAGTTGTAATCAACTTTAATTTGCATACCGTATATAATTCCTAAATGATTGTTAATAATAACTTTATATAATGGACTTCCAATTTTCATGAAAATGGCACATTTTGATAAGCAGACACAAAACCCTAGTACTAATAAGGTTTAATTTGCATACATTAGACTGATTATCCAAACAAAAGGATTACAGTATTACTTCCCCATACCTTTATGTCCTTATTATGCACATTTATTAACTTCACAAAAGCTAGCTGTTACTGACAAACAATAGCCATGGGTGAAAGAGAAATCTTCAACATGAATAAAAACATTTTAATGCAAAAGAGCAAAGTTTATACGGTATAAATGCTTCACTTAACTCTTTCTTAGCAAAAGGCACACATTAGATAAACTCTATTCATTAGATAGATTCCGCATTTTCTCATGCATAACATTCCCAGCTGGCATAATATTAAAAATCTAACATTCACTATACCAGTCTGGGCCACAGACTAGGGCACAATTATGCAGAAGGAAATGTCCCTATAGGACACCTATGCACAAAACTCTGCAGAGAATTACAGCATTTTAAAGGAATGCATCTAAAATTATCTATAAAAATGATTGGCTTATAGAAGTACTCAGAACATGTTTGCAACAGGAAGACTAAACTCTGAACTCATCCTCTCACACGCACACAATATTGATAAAATATTTCAAAAGAATGCTTTTCAGAAGTGTTCCTAATAGCTAAACTCTGAACTCATCCTCTCACACGCACACAATATTGATAAAATATTTCAAAAGAATGCTTTTCAGAAGTGTTCCTAATAGCATAGTTAAATAACTGGCACTTTTGTGTTGGGAATGTAAAAAGTAATAGGAACATTCTACCATATACATAGAATCATAGAATCATAGAGTTGGAATAGACCACAAGGGCCATCGAGTCCAACCCCCTGCCAAGCAGGAAACACCATCAGAGTACTCCTGACATATGGTTGTCAAGCCTCTGCTTAAAGACCTCCAAAGAAGGAGACTCCACCACACTCCTTGGCAGCAAATTCCACTGTCGAACAGCTCTTACTGTCAGGAAGTTCTTCCTAATGTTTAGGTGGAATCTTCTTTCTTGTAGTTTGGATCCATTGCTCTGTGTCCGCTTCTCTGGAGCAGCAGAAAACAACCTTTCTCCCTCCTCTATATGACATCCTTTTATATATTTGAACATGGCTATCATATCACCCCTTAACCTCCTCTTCTCCAGGCTAAACATGCCCAGCTCCCTTAGCCGTTCCTCATAAGGCATCGTTTCCAGGCCTTTGACCATTTTGGTTGCCCTCCTCTGGACACGTTCCAGTTTGTCAGTGTCCTTCTTGAACTGTGGTGCCCAGAACTGGACACAGTACTCCAGGTGAGGTCTGACCAGAGCAGAATACAGTGGCACTATTACTTCCCTTGATCTAGATGCTATACTCCTATTGATGCAGCCCAGAATTGCATTGGCTTTTTTAGCTGCCGCGTACTCGTACATTTTGGCTCCCAAACGCCAAAAACCCAGAAATGTTCCAGTTTCTGAACGTTTTTCGGAAGCCAAATGTCGGACGGGGCTTCCGCTTGAGTGCAGAAAACTCCTGCAGCCAATCGGAAGCCGTGCCTTGGTTTTTGAACGTTTCAGAAGTCGAACGGACTTCCAGAACAGATTACATTTGAGAACCCAGGTATAACTATAAATTGGTCCCATCCAATCATCAAGAAAAGTGGACATCAGCAAAACAATCAACGAAAGAACTGGAATATACATTAAGATTCTTCTTTATTCCTAATAATAGACATAATGCACAACAAGTTGGCATAAAGGAAGAGGGTTTAAGTTAAGCTGGCAGAAGGTTACACCAGAATGAACCCAGTACGGGGGAAGGGGGGGTGCTGCTCTGCCTAGAAGAAGAAGAAGAAGAAGAAGAAGAAGAAGAAGAAGAAGAAGAGGAGGAGTTTGGATTTGATATCCCGCTTTATCATTACCCGAAGGAGTCTCAAAGCGGCTAACATTCTCCTTTCCCTTCCTCCCCACAACAAACACTCTGTGAGGTGAGCAGGGCTGAGAGACTTCAGTGTGAGTAGCCCAAGGTCACCTAGCAGCTGCGTGTGGAGGAGCGGAGACGTGAACCCGGTTCACCAGATTACAAGACTACAGCTCTTAACCACTACACCACACTGGCCTAAGCCTGAGATAAGGGAAATAAGCCTTTAAAATAGTGTTCTACACTAGATTGCTTGGTCATGTGATCAAGCTGAACAGGCTTAGTTTAAGGTCCGTCCCCCATCTGGTCCCATCCCTGGAATGCCCTGTTGGGGAACTAACAGTTGCCTTGGTTCAACCATCTGAGCCTCTGCTGAACCAGAATGAGCAAGTTACACTGACAAATCTTGCGTTGAGCCTGGGTTGAGGACTTAGCACCCACTGAACCAGAGATCTCCTGCATCCTAAGCTGCTCATCCCGGTGCTTCTTGCCATAGGATTGTCCCCACAGCAAATTAATATCTTAACCACAATGAGGATTCTTGAGATTAGATATCAGAAAACAGGAGAGACAAAACTGGAACTTGTTTAT